TGCCCATATATGACTTGTTTACAAACTATGAATACAGTACATGTATGAGTACATGTCATGTACATGAACATAAGAATCACTCACTCGATAGTAATTTCTCCTTTAGTGGGAGGCAGACAGTAAGCAAACTGTATAGCACTCCATAGTCTGTGGAACTCCTGACACTCATCAATGGACATCACACCATTAGCCGGTGGGGGGCCCTCCCATATCTATTGAAAACAGGATATTTTCAGTATACTAATACAACAATTTTTGTATACAAAAAATCTTAATTCAAGTGCATTTACATGTATCATGCTAATCTTAATTGCCACACAATAAATCTTAGTACACACTACACATATACTGTACAGTTACTTTTAGTACACTATTAGTATATTATTAGTATACCATTAGTATATTATTAGCATACTTACAGGGTCACAGGTGAGGAATGATTTGATTCTTTGCATGACTAGTTCAAACATTGATAGAGCCCGGCAGAGTCTCTCTCTCGTGAGTAATTCAGCATCACGAGCATTAGCTCCTTGTTGCTCGGTACCATAACGTGATATCATTGACACCATGTTCAGTGCTGCATACTGCTGGTCAAGGTTCTTCATTACAGTCTCCATATTCTGATCATCTGAGGAGAGAGAAAAAGGACTAATAAGTAATGTACAATCAATGTAACTTTAAAGAAATATTAATTCCCATTTTGGCATAGTGCTCATGCAGCTTCTTGTCAGTGGATTGTTAAGTTGCTCAAAAATAGGTTCAAATATGACCCTGTAGTGTACTATAGTACAGGGTATTTCATCAAAAATGGCTAGGAGAGAATTTTTCACTTTTATAATTATTCTTGTATGTGTATAAATGTTCTAATGCTGTGTTTCAAGTTTGAACTGATTCCGATCAAAATTGGATTTTTTTATGAATTTTTAAAGTTGCTCCAGAATTGGGCCAAAGTCCCTGTACTATAGTACAGGGTCTTCAGCCAAATTTCATCAAAAATGACTAAGAGAGAATTCTTCATTTTAATAATTTTTTCTCATACATATACATGTTCTAATGTTGTATATCAAGTTTGAACTGATTTCGATCGAAATTGGATTTTCTGTATTGTAGTGCTTGTCAGCTCATGAAGCTCATGCTGTTTAGCTCACTTAGCATGCTTTGTTGGATACCCTGTGTACATGTACAATTGTACATGTGATGTACATGTACATCTACATGTATATAATTTTAAATTTACCTTTCACGTAGGGTTTAGGGTACAGGTTTTGAAAAGGTGCAGCCTGGAGTATGTCCACCACCTCTTGCTGGCCGAGAGCCTTCTCAAGAAGGAGAGAGAATATCACTGCATTCCCTAATTCTTTGAAAGCTTGAAACACGTCAGTCCTGAGGTCCTTGTACTGTATGACTGGACCTAATTGAGCTAAATAGAACCCTAGGACACCTGGGGAGGGAGAGAGAGGGAGAAAGGAATAAATAGTAAAATATGATGTACCAATATTACAAAAGTTTATTAATTAAATTCCAATTACATGTACATGTACATGGATATTTAAATGAAAGTTTCAATTGCATGTACATGTACATGCATTTCAGTACTTGCACTATTTAAAACATATTATTATTATTATTATCATCATCATTGTTGTTGTTGTTGTTTGTTGTTGTTGTCATTACCTTTGGATCCATACTGAAAGAAAGGGAGTTTACACTTTTGTGGTAACCCAGCAACCAGTGCTTCAACATAAGGCTTTAACTGAGTCTGAATAATCTATAAATAATAAATAAATTAATTAATTAAAAAATATACAAAAATAAATAAATAATGATAATAATACATGTAAATGCAAATATGCTAAAATCTACATGCTTAGTTAATTAATTAAAATTAGCCCCGCCCACCACTTACACTGCTCTTAATAACGTTAAGCAGTTGCTCCAGTAACATTGCTATTCCATGATATCCCAATAGTTTACTGAGGGCACTGAAATGAATGGAACCAACAAATCCACCATAAAGAGTGAATATGCTCTGATAGGCCTCCTTCAGTTGTTTGTTACCATACAACATGGTGGTGACCGTTTGACTTTTAGGAGCTGACTCTCTCTCTGGTGGCTCTTGTGGTAAATGAGAGAGAACAAATCTAATGGAGGGAGAGAGAGAGAGAAAGAGAGGGAGAGAGAAGGTGGGAAAATGAAGTTAATGAGTGAAAAAGAATCAAAAGAGATAATTATAGGAAAAAAGGAATTTATAAAAGACAATTTATAAATTTATAAAAGAGGAAGAGAGAGGAAGAATGATAGGGGGAGGGGGTGAGGAAATGAAGTTAGTGAGTGAAAGAGAATCGAAAAGAGATAGAAAAAAAGAATCAATTTTAAAAGGCAGAGCCTTAGGGATGAACATAAGGCAAGACAATGATAATAAAATGTGAGTGGCTTTTATAAAACAATGTACATGTATAATGCAGTACATGTACATGTACATGTACATATAATGTAGTACAACGCATGATTCCTTATTGTTACCTGTCGGTAGTTGAATTGTAGCAATAGTTAGGAATAAAGTCATAAATGAGCTCCCAGAAGATGTGAAGGGTTACTCTCCCGTGAGGAGAGACGACTGAGTTGTTGGCCTCAGCGTACATTGCTTCAAACGGATCAAGTACGACAAAATTTGATAACATTTGGTGAGTTAATCTGTTGATCTCAAGTAGATGAAGCAATTCCTATAGTGACATTAGAAAAAATATATTTATTAATAATGTATATCACATGTGTATTGCATGTACAAAGTATACAGTATCAAGCTAAGTGAATAAATGAATGAACGAATGAACGGTGGAGAAATGTACACTGTACATGTACATGTCAAACTATACCATAACTTGAAAAATTGAAGTCGGAATCAGCTCAAACTTTCTACACAGCATAAGTACATCAATATGCATCAGGAAATGTAATAAAAATTGGGAGTGATTTCGGAGCCATTTTTTGGAAAAAACCATGGGCTATTATAGTACAGGGTATTTTTCAAAAAAATGGCTTATTTCTTAACACTGCTGTAACTCGAAAAATTGAAGTCGGAATTGGCTCAAACTTTCTACACAGCATAAGGACATCAATGTGTATCAAAAAATGTAATAAAAATTGGGGGTGATTTTGGAGCCATTTTTCGGAAAAAACCGTGGGCTATAGTACAGGATATTTTTCAAAAAATGGCCTATTTCTTAACACTGCCATAACTCAAAAAACTGAAGTCAGAATTGACTCAAACTTTCTACACAGCATAAGGACATCAATATGTATCAGAAAATGTAATAAAAATTCTGGGTGATTTTGGAGCCATTATTTAGAAAAAGTAAAGGGTATTTGATATTTTTAAAATGGTCATAATTTGACTACATGCCATACTTTTGTATGTGACACAACATGCATACACATACAATACATGTAAACACTGCATTTTTATAGCAATTAAGAGATAATGAGATAACAAAAACTAAATGAATTAAAGACAATTTAATAATAAAACAAAATCACTTTCAAAACGTCACAAGTCAGGTACTCCCCCAATCATCAATGTTTAATACACCAGCAACCAGTATTGCTATGGTACCCAATATCAAGATTAAGGTGTACATGTACTGTATATCCTAGTTGAATTTGTGACAAGAAAAACTATAATAGCTTCTTTACATGCACATGTACATGTACATATACTTACACAACACCTATTTACTTTTTTTCTAATTGAAAACTAAACTATTAATAAAAATGCATATATACAGTATACATATACATGTTACATGTATGTGTGTCTGCTTACTACATGTACATGTACATGTACATGTACATGTAACTCACCACAACTCCACAGAGGTTCCTTGACTCAAAAACATGTATAGCAGTGTCAATGGCCTTTAACATGTTGCTTCCTAGCCTCTGGGACAATAGACTAGTCAGATCAATGGAGCGTCCTAACAACTGTATGAACAAGAAAGAGAGAAACATGTACATGTAATGTAATATGTTATAAAACATGTATCTTACATGTACATGTACATGTAATCATATTTTTGTAACTTATACATCTATTGTAAATAAATTTCTCAAAACACTTGATCAGTCGATCTCCTTCAATCTTTCATTGTCACTCTGGCATTTTTCAAAGACATGTACATGTACATGTACATGTATATGCATGTACAAATTGTATTATACCTGGATATGACGCTGTTTCAATATGGTCTCGTATCTGTTAGGAGAAGGATGAGGAAACTTAGCCGGTACACAATCAGCTCGGAACCTTTTATCAAGATATATACTAATGGAGGGAGGGAGGGAGGATAAAAAAACAAGGAAATCAAAATTGAAGAAAAGGACTTTGGATTAAATAAAGTTTACATCATTACTATAAAGTTGTCATGCATACAATGTACATGTACATGTATATCATTCACTAATAATTCAATGATCAACATTACACCAACAGTCATTATGTACATGTATAATGCATGTGAAGTACGTATTACATGAACATGTACATGCATTATTACTGTACCTTGCTGCTAGTTGTTTATAATAAAGGAAGATCTGTTCACTTAGTTTATAAACCAACTGATCAAAACAAAGATTAACCTGGAAGAAGAGAAAACCAAGAGATTGACATTAAAATGATTAAACTACATGTAGTTAATTAAGTGAAGTAACGTTAAAATTAATAATAAATTAGTTGCTAATTGCAGTAGTTATAAAGTAGTTATATTAAGTAGTTATTAACTAACTTCAGCCTCAATCTCATCGTAGAGAAACTGTTTCTTAAAATGATGGAGAGCGTAATGGGCGGAATCGGAATAAAGATCCATCGGATAGAAGATGTACTCCATCATGGAGGCCTCCTTACTCTGGAGGATGTGATCGGTCAGTATCCATGGCAATGACATGTCAATGGGAAACTAAGGAATGAAGAAAGGGCGTGGTCAAAGTAGGCGTGGTCAGGGGAGGGGTCTTACCTGTATACGCTGTCCCATGGTGAGCTCTAAATAGAATTCTCTGAACCAAAGTTGAGAGAGGTCACAACACTCCTTCATTGTTACTGTAGGACGGGAAATAGATATACTGAAATATACTGAAAATATACTAGAACAGTATACATGTAAATGCATGTACACATGTACTACAAATACTGTACAAAAAAGTTTAAATTTAAGAGAACATACAAAAATATACTAGCATATACTAGAATATACAGAAATATACTGCTTACTATCAAAGTTGAGAATGTGATTGAAGAAGTACGTGTTTCTGTGGAAGGACTCAAACTCAGGGACTGAGGACTGGTGGAGGTCGGACCGAAGGTTCTTCTTAGCGTTACCTTTCTCCGATATAAGAGACTCTAACATAGTCCTCATCATGTACAACTATCAATAATTAATACATAATGAACATGTACATGCATACATTTAATCTTGTGAGTACTATACTATAGTACAGGTTGCTTTGCAGAAACTTAAAAAAATTTTTTTTTAATCTGATTTTGATACAACAAGTGCATGTACATGTACGTGTACACGAGAGAAAAAATAATATAAAAATCAAAAATTTCTCCTAGCAATTTTTGACAAAATATCTCATCATTTCCATACTCTCATTTTCCATTTCCATACTCTCATTTTCCATTTCCATACTCTCATTTTCCATTCCCATACCACTGACCTGAGTTCCTGATACTCTGATCCTGCGGCGAGGTAGTTTGATATTGTATCCAATCTTAGGATCCTTCTCTCCTCTGAGTGCAGGGTCATCAGTCCTCTCCTTACCATCCAACCAGTCACAGCAAACATCTCTGATAGCCAGCAGGATACTATAGAGAAATGAAGAAGAGAATTATACATGTAAAAGAGGAGAATAGGTGAACACAATTAATTGAAACTTTTTCTTAAATTTCAATGCACAGAATAAATTCTATCAAGCAAGTAATACTTAATGCTACACATGTACATGTATAACTGCTCTGTTCCTTCTCCCCCTCCTCCCTCTTCTTCTCCTTCCCTCCCTCCCTCTCTCTCTCCTGCTCTCTCTCTCTCTTTTACGTTTTTGCTTGCAGTTTCTTCTTCTTGACTGATACTCTGATGCTCTCCCTCAGTGTTCTCTGTACAAAGTCCTGTACCTGGAGGTAGGTGTGATATCTGATGGCCTCAGAGAAGTGTCGCTCCATTCGATGCATGAGAAGTGACAGACCCTTTATCATACCAATGACCTCAACCAGTGCATACTTCTCTTCTGAGTTGTAATTGTAACGTGTTGCCTGAGAGAGGGGGGAGGGAGGGAGAGAGAGAGAGGGAGGAAGGGAGGGAGGGAGGGAGAGGGAGGGAGGGAGGGAGGGAGGGGGAGGGA